GTTTTCCTACTTTTGCAATGTTTTTACCACTTTCCAACATTATGCAAACTTTTCTTCTACAACATTTCTCATTTACAACATTTCATTTTTCTGCTTTAAAAGCAACAAAAAAAAATCATGTGAAATAAGGCCAGAGGTAACGTGGAGAGGGAAGGATGACAATTTTATAAATAGGCCCCTTTTTCCTGTTTCATCAGCATTGTTTATAACAAAGGGATTTACAAATTTTAATTTCTTGTTTGTTTATTTATTTTTAGTAACAGTATTTTTAATTTCTTGTCCTGTTGTTTTTTTGAATAGTAGAATTTTTTATTTCTTCTCCTCTAGTAATGTATTTTATTGTTTACATTTTTTTAGTACCGTATATACTCGAGTATAAGCCGTCCCGAATATAAGCCAAGATTTTTAATTTCTTATCCTCTAGTAAATTATTGAAAAAAAAATTTTAGTGGTAGAATTTTTTTTATTTCATGTCCTCTGGTAACTTATTTTAATTTTTTTTAGTAGTAGTGTTTTTTTTTATTTCTTGCCCTCTAGTGAACATATCTGGTGCTAGAAAGCCTTTAAAAAATATATACTTTTCTTTAAAAAAAAATGTGATTAACAGCAAATAACAGTTACATAAGGAAATCTTTTTTTTTTTCTTTGGATGGAGAAATGCCCAGTGACCAGCAACAGATATCACAAGCATTGAAGAGAGTTACTCACCTGCCCTGCTCCCTGTCCAGAGGTGTCTGAGCAGACAAACTGAACAAACTCTTTCAGGGAGTCCTGGCTGTGATGGTGATGATGGTAGCGTATTGTTGGGTGAGTGAAGTAAGGGCTGGACTGCTGAATAATGGACGTTGAAGGAAAGTGTATAGTAGATGCCGATGCCCTTGGACTCCCTGAGACAAAAAATGAAAAAATCAGCACAAATTAGGTCAATTCACACAAAGTTTAATGCATGCACTTTACAATAGATTACGCCAAAGCCCATTTTATTCTTCCTGCCCCCTTATGCCAAAAGTCTTGTGTTACCCATATCTACCCTCTTTATCTATCTATATATACACTGAGTGGCCAGATTATTATGACCACCTGACGTTTGTAGGCAAATTAGCTATAATTTCACACTGAAGTTGCTGGAGGGCCAGACCATTATAAATATGGGAGCAGGTTGTTTACCACGACAGTAGAAGTGATTTGTTTCTAAAGATTCGGGTAAAGAACGCGATTTAACAGCCTTTGTACGTGGGATGATTGTTGGCGCTCGGAGCCATGGCGCGAGTATCAGTAAAACAGCAGAATTTGTTAAATGTTCAAGAGCAGCTGTTGTTAAAGTGTTTAAAGACTGGACTGTCAGCCGAAAATCTGGGTCTGAACGTGCGAATTGTGGCCGTCAGCGACTAGTCAATGTTAGGGCAGAACGGAGAGTGGCAAGACTGGTACAAGACAACAGAAGGGCCACAGTGCCGTGTCAGATTCCTCGCATCACCTTTCACCATCTCGTGGAGTCATCTCGTGGCCCAACAAAGTACTGATCTGGCCACTCAGTGTATATTGGCTGTACCGAAATCGGACCCTGGTTATTTTTATCTGTGTCCATTTCATGACTTGTTCACAAAAGGAATGCACGCAGCATTTTAACAAATCATGTCGTATTTTAAAACTGGTTGCCATAATGTAAAATCATCAATTCATAAGTCTTATCACAACGGTCATACTGTATACTTGCAGTTACACTTTTAGGGGTGTCTTTATAAAATAATTCACACAGCTATTCCTTCTGCAAAACTGAATGCACATTCCTACATTAAAGGAGAACTATGGGGTAAGTGTTTTTCCCCATAGTTCTCCTAAGGGTAACGGGAGGACACAAACTAGCATCTTACCGTGACCCAAAGCTCAATATATCGCGAGCTACAGTTTGCGGTATACTGAGACCGCCGCAGACTGGGCGGATCCCGACATTACTGTCGAGATCCACCCAGCTGCGTAAGTGACAGCTGGCTCTGCCTATCTAGAGGCAGAGCCAGCTGTACCTGCCCCCTCACCCGTCCGTTCCTCCAGTCACCGCTGGAGGATCGGACAGGGGAGGGGGAGAGAATCCCTGCAGGGAGCCGTGAGTGATATTCACGGCTCTCTGCAGGGACAGGGTCGAGAAGTGAGCGAGCGACGGTATGTGTTCGCTCACTTCCCGATCTATTGAGCTGACATGTGACAGTTTCATTGTCACAAGTCGGCTAGAACTATGAGGCTGAGTGATTTTCACTCACCTCATAGTTCTCCTTTAAACAGTCCCATTTATTTCGTATGATATCCTTGGCTGGGTCTAGCAGCCATAATGTCATACTTTCCTGATTCACTCTGATGAAACTGATTCAAACTGATGAACGGTTTACATTCGAAATGGAAAGAAAATATAATGATAACATTCGTTTTCTTTGCCCCCACATAATTTACATGCAGTTTCGCAGGGCGAATGTCTCTGCAAAGTTTTAAAAAATTGACCCCTAATTGAATGCCTCACCCCAGCACTTTAGTGACTGCAATGAACTGGAACAATGATTTGATTTGGCCCAGTAGGCTTCATCATCATCATCATCATCATCATCATCATCAGGCTGATGGTTGTGGTCAGTGTGCGAAGTACCTTAAAATACAAGATAGAATTCAGAAATCCTTTCTCCTTAACCCCTTCGTGACTGACGACGTACACTGTACGTCGCCAGCATCGGGGCTGTTTAAACAGACTCCCGGTGACTTTTGCCGCCGGGACTCTGTTTAAACTTGTAGAGCCGACTGTCGGCTTTACAACAGAAGCGATCCTGGCGACTTACCTGTCGCCAGATCGCTTCTGCGTCCCGAAGAAGGGGCCGCCCCGCCCAGATTTGCACGCCTCTCCAGGTCTGAAGACCAGCACATTGTACTCCAATGTGTTAACTTTGCATGCTGCCCAGGCCCACCAGTTCTGCATTGAGTAGTCCCAGTAGGCCGAAACACTTAGGGGTCTATTCACGAAGCTGCCGAAGGACCTGGCCATAGCTTCGGCCGATCCTTCGGCTAGCTTCGGCTCCAGAGTTTATTTGCATACATTCTTATTTACAACAGGTTTGTTATTATTCCTGTTTAATTTTACATTTTCTGTTGTGTATTACTATTGTTATTACTTATTATTATAATTTTTTTTTATTTTTACATTCTACTTAATATTTTCCCATTCAAAATGCACATATAGTACAGGATACTAGAATTTTGTTTTAAACCAATTAATTTTGAATTCCATTTGGAGCCTTTCCATAAACTTTCTAATTCTACATACTACTAGACACAAATAACACAACATATGATTTACAATATAAAGACAGTTTGAGTGAAAACGTCTCTATCTAGTGGCCGTAGACGGTAAGTGCAGTGTTTCCCTTTACTGAAAATAGTCTCAGCTGTGATATTCACATATACCTGTAAATGGTTGGCGCTATATACATATGAATAAGCCACGACTCATTCTTCCCCCAAAAAATGTGCGTGTCGCTAGAGTGTTCGGCATTCGTTTGAAGAAAAGGTGGCAACACTAATGTAGGCCCCTATCACCAGTAATATATATTTAGCAGCCCCTTTGTCTACCATCTCCGTTTAGCTACCTGTATGTGTGAGCATGTCACTCACCCCCCTTCCATCCATGTGATATTTATAGTCCGCCACTATTGGCCACTCAGGCACCCATCCTTGAGCAGGGAGTTTCTACTCTTTGCTACCAGTGGGCAAATGGAGAGGTGGGGGAATGAGGGGAAGGTAACTATGCACAGCTGGTTGGGCCATTAAAGTGACACTAAACTCAGGAGTTAAATCTCGAAAATAAGGGTTCATTTTAAAGGTCTATTGACACCTGTACATTTTAACAAGTGTTGTTTTGCTGAAAAATGCACCTGGAAACACCCCCCCCC